AAGACCTCTATTTGTATGTAACTTAATCGTGGAAAATTGTTAATATCATCCAGAGATACATTTTTCCCCTGACTAGATGCTCAGCAGCGTAGTACCTTGGATTACACATTAACCGCGCTATATAAATGTGCACAGAAGCTGAAAGCGTAAATCCATTGGAGTTCGCATTCGTATAGTCTTATCTACACAATTTATCGCTTTTCTACCCAGCGCTAAGTTAACATTTTTGCGATCAATGGTTTGAGTGATGTTTCGTTAGTTACGATGATAATGATGATTATGATGTCGGTGATATTCTCTGGAAAGACTAATTTTGATTAACTGTTTAATGTAACATAAAAGATGACCATTCGGTTCTTCCTATTTGTAGACTATTCGCAACCCATTGGTATGAAGGGGTCAATTTTTAAGGTTCAACTGACTATTACTCCCGAAGTGGTCCACAATTTTGCAGAATTTGTCTGTATATTCTGTGTTTAATGTTGGGGAAGGGAGCACGAGAGATAATTTTACAAGCGGCATAAAAATTGTAGATGGATGAGGGTAGCTTGGTATAGGAAAATTTTATCAATGGCTCAACAGTTTTTATGTATTTGCGTTGCCTGCACATGCATATACAAAATAAGTCTGCTATCACAGGTCCGAGTTAATATTAATTTTAAACATCACTTACGCTCAAAAGCATCATATTTACTGATACATGTTTTGAACTCTGGAGCAGGAACACTTCTTGCTTTTGTCTAAAATGGTAACATATCGGCGAATAAAAAACATACTCTCTGTGTGCCGGTCACAAACAATTTGTTCCATACTTACGATGGATTCTTTTCTTCAGAACTTCAAGACTTTTCCGTTTGCCGGTCCTTTTCTCGCACCAGAGAGTCAAATCGATAGCCTTTATTGCAAATTATGTTTTGGCGCAAAAAAAAGGTTTCGTACCAGAAACTACTAAAAATCGTCAAATTGCCTCATAGTTGGAAAGTTAAAAGGAAATATTATCTCAAGTTTACTTCCATTTATGACCCTAATAAAACCTTCGAGTACTTTTCACTCTATCGTTGGGATCGGATCATCTGAACCGCTATGGTCATCTGAACGAGTATGGTCTTAAACCCAGCACTCGCGTTGACGCTGAATACCATATTCATTGGGGTTCTTATCGCGTAAATAGGGGGCAAACACTTCATTGTCCTATGGGTTGCAAGAATGAAATCCTGACGGCTACGTTGTATTTCATTGTATACGTACGTTAATAAGTTTCCTTTTCGCCTGAACTGCATAGTTCTTTTACTTCTGCTTCATCTTTTCTAACAGCAGCATGCACTAGCTATTCTATGAAAATTTGCAACGCTGTATTCCATCTACGCGTTGCACGCAATACTAAAATCATGTCTCAGTGAAAATAGTGCAGTGGCTGCCAAGTAGACATACGCGAAAGGCAACAGAAAACGGCTGTTTGTGGACTTTCATAGCCAACCGATTTGTAAACATTGCTCACTTGGTTCTCGCCACTCCAGTGAACAATTTATGATAACAATTTCATCGGGGACGTAATTGGGCCATTTAGTCCCTGTCCCGTGCACAATCTATAAGCAGAGAGACGCCGTCGCACGAGATGCCCTCGTAAATTGGTGGCAGCCCTGCCCTGCTTCACACTGCAGGTCGTTGTGTGCTACTCTTCCGTGCAAAAAAAGTGGATAATACAAACTAAAACGGTGAAATGTGGATCAAAACCCTATACATCATCAGTGTCAGATAGTAATTAAATACTACTGCAAACAAACCAGTACCATTAATTTGTTTTATTTGTTTTTATCAACCTACCAGTGATCTCCGCGAGAGCCTGTCTTGTATTCGGCGGACCGTGGAAGCCCGTCATGGGGAGGAGGTTGCTGACCAAATGATTTCAGGCTGTCTCTTTTTGCGCTACCTCTGTCCAGCTCTTCACGGACCCGCCCTTTTCGGT